AAACAACCCTTATGTATTTGCATCGGTACACGGCTCCTGGGTGGTCTTTGGGGACCCTGAATTCTGGGCATAACAGTCCTACCTCTTTTCTTAACATTTTAAAGTTACAACGTACGTTTTGAAAAAGCTGGGATATGCAGTGTGAAGTTGAGCAGCGTTCTTGTAATTTCAGATGATGGGGCGCTTCTTCAGTGGTTTGGCACAATCAGGGGCCTGGTGCTGCTTCGACGAATTCAATCGAATCGACATTGAAGTCTTGTCGGTCATTGCACAACAACTCATCACCATCAGGAACGCCAAAGCTGCAAAAGTGAGGCAGACTGTCGATGGGAATGCTTTTGTCAAGTTTGTAACGAACATTTCGGTTCTGAGGTAGAATTCTCACCTTCTATGCAGAAGGCCTAGGTTCAATTCCCAGCCATGTACCTTGTGGACTATCACTTTTACGCCACTGGAGACGGTGTATTATTAGGGTTCCAACCGGTTCCCACAAGGCTTTCAGACTAAAATGGACTAGGAAGACAGGCCTGGTAATCTACTCCAAATCTACTCCACAAATTAGCTAATGAAACATTATGGATCACATCAGTCAGATCCACAGTTGATTGTGGGCACAGTGCAGGACCAGGCAGTGTTTAGTGTCACTGTACATGTGGTCACGTGAGTCAGTGCTGACGTGGCAGCAGCTAACTACAACAATGATTTACTTACATTGTGTTGCGTTTTAGGAGGGGTGATGTGAATTTTAGCCTGTCTGTTCCATGTCTACAGTGTAAGTGGTGAGAACTATAGCAACAGGGCTTAGTTGGGTGAATTAACTTCTCATCTACACAACACACAAACAGCTGCATGCCCAACGGACCCTGTGCTGGGACTCTCAGTCCTACCCTCAAGGCCTCTGCTCTTCCTCAGTTCCACAGATAGACACACACACATCAAATGCACTCACATTTTGCTCCTCCATCCTCCCTCTCCTGTTTTCCTCCTCACCTTTATTATTCTTGCCTTTGGCATTTACATTCCACTAGGTTTCCCTAACTCTGCCTCTTCTGGGCTGGAGTTCCTTCATCATGGTCTCCAGGCCCAGCCCATTGCTGTTGGTGTTAGGTTCCATGAGTCAGTTTCAACTCACGACAATCCCATGTGACAGAGTAGAACTGCCCCACAAAGTGTCCTAGGCCATAATCTTTATGGGAGCTGATTTCTAGGTCTTTCTCCCGTAAAATCACTGGGTGGGTTTGAACATCAATCACAGTATACTGTGGAAAGAGGGAAGAAGCCGATCTTGGCTCTCTAGAGCTCACTGGGTTGGAAAATCCAAGGCATAGATCTTAATGGCCAAATGAAGATGCTGATGTGGCCCAGTTTTTAATATTTGTTCTAATCCTGTATAACTATGAGAAACAGTTTTGTGTTCAGAAGCCAATGGCCGTGAGGGATGCGATTGAGTTCTTACTACTCTGGATGGCCTTTGAGATGTGGCCATAAGATTACCAAAGGGCCTGCTCAGTGTTCAGCCCATGCACATCAGCACACTCTCTGAGTTGTTTAACATTTAGCTACTGCTCTGAGCTCCTCAGATGTCCCCCACTTCCTCCCCTAAAAGCTCAGCTATGGGGGTTGAGGCTGGCACAGAAAGGAGGCTTCTGGCCCCAGCCCTAGGTCTATAGACAGAGGCTGTCTTTATGTGAAAGTGCTCTGCTAAAGAACTGTTAAATACTTTTATTATCACCTTTGCAAGAAAAGCAAATTATAAAATAAAGGAAAAGAAAATAGGAATTGGCCTTTAATGAGTCACTGTGGTTTCAGCTTCTCACCAAGCCTATGTGAAATAGGTAGCCTTTTCACCAGTTTATATGTGAAAGAGATTCAAAGGAGTCAAACATTTCTCTGTATAGCAAAGAACCAAGACCTCCCTAAATCACCAAACCATAAATCTCCTTCAGATCAATAGCCTCCAGCTTCCCACATCCTCTGGGGAGGCCTAGATTGAATGTAAACACTATCAGATACAGCATCTTAAGTTTCAAAATCATTTATCACCTAGCTGAGGAATTAGCTGAGCCTCAAATACAGGAGTAAGGGAGGAGGGACCAGAGAGGATGGAGACAGGACTGAAATGTTGTCAACTAAGGGGCAAGCATATGAGGGGAAAGTTACGAATAAGAACATCTACAACAAACCAAACCTCAGCTTCAATGTTGCTTATAGCCAGGCAAAATAGAGTGGTCTATGTGCCCCAGAATAGATGGAAGAAACTAAAGCAGGGAGATTTCGAGGTTTGAAGAGCACAAACAGACACTTAGTAGCAGGACTTGTGTCTCCTCCATGGGACAAAATCTAAATTCTGTAGCCTAGCATGCAGGACTCTGTATTTGGGCTCCAGCCTCTATCCTTTCCCCTGGAACTTTGCCCTGCAGCCATGGGGATTGCTGGCCTTCCTTGATGGAGAAGTGCTGGGAATGGCTGTCACTGCTTGTTGACCTGAAATGCACCTATTCATCCTTCAGGTCTCAGGCAAGCTTCCCTGCTCACCCTGTGCTCCCTACAGCCTGTGTGTCCACTTCCACTGTAGCACTGTGTGATCACGGTGTCCACACAGCAAGCCTCAGGGCTTCGTGAGGTCTCAGCAGTGAGGCTCCTTTAGCTCTGTCCTTCCAAACCTAACCCAGTGCCTTACCTGTCGCAGGTGATTAACAAATGCCTGCTGTTGAATAAAAGGGAAGGGGTGGTGCCAAAGATGGTGGCAGTGAGGTCTCAACACCCAACAAATAAGACCAGATTGTCATTTCTTGGGAAGTGCCAGAAAGTAGGTGTGGAGAAGCTCAGTGGCCACTAAGTGTCAGTTGAATCAAGGTGGCCCATTAAAAGACGTTGAGTCCCGGAGATGTAAGGACTAGACCAGGGAGGAAGAGACAGTTTGGACAGGCAGGGACAAGGAGTCAGAGTACAGAGAACACTGAGCCCAGAAGAGATGGGGAACAGGCAGGACATCCAGACCCATTACTCCCTGCTGGGCTGCACCTTTATACAATTTTGTATTCAAGTAATAATTTATGTGAAAGATATTTACCAATGTCTGGGTAAGTGTGAAGTTATACTTTCTCTTTCCTCTAAACAGTTGTCTAGATTCATGTTTGAAGGACGGGAAATAAAGCTGGTTATGACTTGCGCAGCCTTCATCACAATGAATCCTGGGTACGCAGGCAGAACTGAGTTACCAGATAATTTGAAAGCCCTGTTCAGACCATTTGCAATGATGGTTCCAAATTACGCCTTGATTGCAGAGGTGAGCTTCACGTTCTAAAGCAATCAACACTAGAGTTTCTTTGTTTCATTTCCATTTGATTCTATGATGGTAGAACATTTCTTTAATAAATGCACCCTGGTTTCATGAATATGAAAGTTGTGTGTATTTAAATGGAGCTATGATTGTTATCATGGAGAACATTTTACTTTGTATTTGGTTTTTGTTGTTTTGTTCCTTTGTTGTTGTTTTTTACTGTAGTAACCCTAACTCACCACTCATCTATCAATTTATCGTCATGTGGTGGCTTTGGTATTGCTGTGATGCTGGGACCTATGCCACCAATATTACAAATTGGACAGACTAAGACACTAGAAAGGAAGAACTGGTGGTCTACTTCTCCACCCCTTCCCCCCCCAAAAAAAAGGCCGTTCCAAATTCTATCATTAGAAAAATTACGACTATTATTAGTATGATACTTAGAGCATCTCATGATCCCTGAGAGCCCCTTTGGGGTACAGTGTGGGGGACAAGAAAGGAAGGTGGTGTCATCACTCTTGACCCTGTCTGGGGACAGGGAAGATTTACTTGCTCATTGTTCCAGAGCTGGTGGGAAGAAAGACTGGTATAGAGCCCAGTCCATCATTTTGCTCATACCCCATGCTGCGTCCTGTTGCTATATTTCTCAGGAATTAATTGGAGGAATTTAAAAATCCAATGTTTAGGAACTATTCCTATTGTTGTTACATGTTGTGTGAATTAGGCAGGATCTGTCATCAGCAAATATTGGCTCTGGTAGCATAGTGTTTATGAACTGGGCTGTGAACCGCAAGGTCAGCAGTTCAAAATTACCAGCCATTCCGTGGGAGAAAGATGAGGCTTTCTGCTCCTGTAAAGATTTGCAGCCTCAGAAACCCTGTACAAGGTCGCTATGAGTCAGAACTGACTCCATGACACATAACCACCACCAGGATAAGGACTGGACTGCTAGCCTCAGAGTCAGTGGTTCAAATCCAGCAGTCACTCCTTGGAAACCCTCTACAGGGTTGCTATGAGATCGCACTCAACAACATCAACAACATATACACAGTCTGTATCAGTAGTACACAGAACAGTAAATAAAACAGACACTAGCAAGTAATGTCTGCATCATAACACATCTTCCTCCTGAGGCCAACTGCAGTGTTTCTGGTGGCTTATGGGTTGGGCGGAGGCTCTGTGCCTACCTGTACCATCAAAGATACTGGACATCCTCCAGTTCACTTAACCAAGGAGGCAGATACATGTCAGAAGCAAAGTAGCCTCATAGGGCAGGGGACAAAAGAAAAAAATTGCAAAAACTATTTTTGTCAGGTAAATTCTGCCTCATAGTAACCCCCATGTGCTCCCTAAGATGTTTATGACTATGTTCTTCATAGAAGCAGATCACCAGGCCTTTCTTCCACGGCACTGCTCGATGGATTTGAACCACCAACTCTTAGGCTGGTGTTGCTGTTAGGTGCCATTGAGTCGGTTCTGACTCACAGTGACCTGTGCACAACAGAATGAAACATCGCCCAGTCCTGCGTCCCCTCACAATTGTTGTTAAGCTTGAGCTCATTGCTGCTGCCTCTGTGCCAGTCCATCTCATTGGGAAATTTGTTCTTTTTCAATGACCCTCCACTTTACCAACCATGATGTCCTTCTCCAGGGTCTGATAACATGCCCCAAGTATGAAAGAAGAAGTCTCGCCATCATGGATTCTAAGGAGCATTCTGGCTGTACTTCTTCCAGAACAGATTTATTTGTTCTTCTACCAGTCCATGGTACTTTCAATGTTCATCGTCAACACTATAATTCAAATGCATCAATTCATCTATGGTCTTCTTTATTCTTTGTCCAACTTTCATATTCATGAGGCAATTTAAAATACCATGGCTTGGGTCGGGTGCACCTTAATCTCAAACTGATACATTTGCTCTTTAACTCTTTAAAGAGGTAAAGCTCACATCATTTGTATCATTCAAAGACAATACAGGGCATGAGAGAGACAGCAAAGCCTTGTACAGCTTCCCTTGACTCTAGGGAGCTTCAGGGGAGCATGTTGCTGTCACAAGCCTGCCCACTGGTGTGGTGCACCTGTCAGATGTTCTTGCTACAACATCACCCTTTGATAGCCAGGCCTGGTCCTGTCATTTCACCTCCTTGATGGAAACATTTCCTTTCATGGCCTCTGCTGCTCCTTGAACCAGATGTCACCAATGCCATGTCTTCATCGAGACACAAAGCAGAATCGGTGTCCAAGTGTCCACATACAGCAGCCCACCTTCTGCCTCCCAATGATATAGAAATGCATTTGTTTCTGTATATAAGGGCCAACTTATATAGCAACTTGGAGAGGTGCAATGCCTGAAGCAAAGTATGTTGCTATTAGGCTAATATATTAGACCAGCAGCATGTTGTTGTTGTTGTTAGGTGCCATCGAGTCAGTACCGACCCATAGCGGCCTTATGCACAGCAGAACGAAACACTGCCTGGTCCTGGGCTATCCTCACTACTGTTGCCACACTTGAGTCCATCGATGCTGCCACCTGGCCAATCCATCTCGTTGGGGGTTTTCTTCTTTTTCTCTTTTTATTATATCAGCAGCATAGTATAATAAATATTGAATCATACATTCCTATTCTAGGTAATTCTCTACTCTGAAGGATTTGAGTCTAGTAAAATATTGGCAAGAAAAATGACTCAGATGTATAAACTTTGCAGCGAGCAGCTCTCTCAACAGGATCACTATGACTTTGGCATGAGAGCCGTGAAGTCTGTACTGGTCATGGCTGGGTAAGAAACCAACGTGGGAAAAAGTGATACACCAAATAAATCATGTGATCAGTGAATGAAATGGGAAATTCACCGAAACCTTTTAGAACAACGCCTGGCCTACAGTAAATGATTAATAAATGCTAATTTCTGCTTCTCTTATCATTCTCACCCTCACATTCCCATCCCACATCTCTCCTCATCCCACCAGAGTTCTTCTTTGTGATACCCAGCATGTTACCCTCAGACTGAACCTAAGTCCCAACTAGACTTTGGCTATCCTGTCCCCAGGAGCTCCCTCTATGCTTTAGGTTCAAGTGTATCAAAGCTTAGTAAAAGATGGCTAGACTTACAAGGTTCAAGTTTGTTATTTATAGTCAATGAGGTAAATCATACATGTTGCCTGACACAGCCTTGAGCTGTAAGAGACTCTTCAGTTCATCCTCCCAGCTTCAGTTCAGGCATCCGTCGTGGGCTTCGCCTGCTTTAATAGAATGGCTCAAGACCAAGCTTCTTTCTGGCTCCTAGAACAGCAAGTCTTTTCTGTTTCAGGCCCTCACTTTTCTATTTATAACATCTTAAAACTACTACTACCTCAGGACCCTCAGCTTGCCCAGAGTCCCTGAGAGCATCTGTTTCCCCTCTAGTCCTGCCTTTCAGCCTCCTGGCTCAGTTTCTCCACATTCAACGCCCCATTTGACTGATCCTGCATCACTGGGCTCTGCACTAATCTTCCCCTTGTCTACCCTCTGTTCTTTTTTTTTTTCAATCTTTGAAATTCAATAGTCCTCCTTTTTTACAGGCTTTCCACTTAGCATTTTAAAGTGTTAAACTGCCTTTTAGGCATAGGGGTTTGAATACATTTGCGCTCAAAGAACACAAGTACAGACCAGTGGGAGAGACGGCATATGAGCTTTCATCTACAGATGCTACAAGCTGAGGGCATCAATGGGGTGGAGCCAGATCTCAGGAATTTTCTAGAGGAGGGAGTAGCTGAGCTGGGCTTTGAAGCGGAAATAGGAATTAGTCAGCAAAAGAGCAAGGCAGGGCATTCTGGGCAGGCAGAGGGAAAAGCAAGTCAGGAGAGTATGAGGGATGCAGGGAACGATAAATTCAGGATGGAGAAAGTCTGAAAGCATCAGGGATGGGGAGTGTTTGGAAGGCACCCAAACAAGTTCAGCCAGGAACTTGTTTGGGTGGCCCTCCACAGCATGCTACACACAGAATCCCTGAATCAAAGGTTTGCAAAATGATCTTCAATCATATTTTCTCTCTGAATCTAGATCGTTAAAAAGAGAAAACCCCAACTTAAGTGAAGATGTGGTGTTGATAAGAGCTTTACGAGATTCTAACTTGCCAAAATTCCTCACAGATGATGCTCTTCTGTTCAGGTAACTTTCTGAATGCTCCCAAGTAAGGCATAGCTCTTGCATGGAGGTAAAGGACAGTTTTATGGTCAATTATTTCTGTCTCTAGCAAGGAAATAACTTTTTCATCTTTTCCAGAGATACTTTTGTAGTTAGAAAAAATGCTAATTTAAAATGAAGATACTAAAGTTTTAACATTAGTTCATTTCTTTCCCCCCCAAAAAATACTGATCATAAATATAAATAAATATAAATCAGAATTTGGTAACATGTACCTGATCTAAAACAAGCTTATAAAGACTTGAAAAACTCGGATTTGAGGTTTAGCATAAATGTGATTCCTTTTATCTATTTATTCTTTTATTATTTATGTTTATCCAAGCCATACATATGCATAGTTTCAAAAATAAAATAGTCTTATAAATTATCTCTTAAACCTTGCCTCCAGTCAACGCTGCCTCACGGTGATCCAGCTGGTTTTCAGTGGCTGTAATCTGGTAGCATTATTGTTGTTGTTGTGAAGTGCTGTCGAGTCAATTCTGACCCATAGCGACCCTGTATAGGGTTTCTGAGGAACAGCTGGTGAGCTTGAATCGCAAACCTTTCAGTTCAAACGGCTTTGCAGTCTGACACATTAACCCACAGCGCCACACAAATCGGGCTGCTAATCTCATGGTCAGCAGTTCGAAACTACCAGCTGTTCCATGGAAGAAAGATGAGGCTTTCTGCTCCCGTAAAGATTTACAGCATCAAACACCCTGTACAGGGTCGCTAGGAGTTGGAACCAACTCCACGGCACATAACAACAACAACAACTGTCTTACAGAGGAGTCCTGGTGTGGCACTGTAGGATAAGCACTGACTCGTAAGGTCAATTTGAACCACAAGGTCGGTGGTTCAAATTCACCAGCCACTCCTTGGAAACGCTATACGGGGTTGCTATGAGTTAGGACTGACTCGATGGCACTTAACAACAGGAATAGCAATTTTACAGAAGTAAATTGCCAGGACTTTCTTCTGAGGTGCTGCTGGGTAAATTTAAACTGCCAACTTTTTAGTTGATTGTTGTTGTTAGGTGCCATCGAGTTGGTACCGACTCATAGTGACCTTATGCACAGCAGAACAAAACACTGCCCAATCCCGGGCCAACCTCACCATTGCCATGCTTGAGCCCATGATGCTGCCACTTGGCCAATCCATCTCACTGGGGGTCTTCCCCTCTGGTTGACAGACAAGCACAAACTGTTTGCACCACCCAGGGATACCTAAAATAGAACAATTTTATATTGTTGGGCTACCCTATAGCAGGAAAAGCAAGGAATGAGCATTTATTTAATGCTCTGTTTTCCTCGTATGGTATTCCTACTCTCAACCCTGCCTTGATGTCCACCAGGTAGGGCAACTTGCTGAGATAGTAAGCAGATCTGATGGTCTAATCGCTTCATAAGCAGACTTTCAGCCAATCCTTCTGTTCTCAGTCAAGCCCAGTTTCAGAGATCCCTACAGCTGCCAATTCCTAAGCCTTTCTCAAGTCTAATTTCTTCCCACACTGACAGCTTCAGTTTCCATTTTTAACTTGGATAGCTAGCACTTGTATATGTCTTGGTCTCTTTGTAAGAAAAGACTAATCAGCATTTGTCCTGTGTGATCAGTTGCCCTCACTCGAGGACCATCAACAAGGTGTCCGAGGTGCAGAACGACTTAAAAGATTGTTACGCTCTTTTCTGAGGCAGAGGAGAGAGAGAAGCTTCTGGTGGTAGAGCCACCATGGCTTAGCCACTGGCACCCCTGTGCTGGCTGCTGGGACAGCTGAAGTCCTCCTTGCTTTTCTAGAACTTAAGACACTTTGTGTTCCAATGCCTTAACGCAAACTGCTTTCCTGCCTCATACATACTTTCCTCCCATCTTTCAGCCTAGAATTTGTGTATGTCTAAAAATAATTTTGCTATGAGACAATAAATATTCACTTGTATATTCGTATCCATTTTGATGGTTTATTTTTATATGTAACTCTTGTAACTTATTTTGAAATACAGTTAAGTATGATAAGTATAGGACAATGATCTGTCCATCTTCTTTGATTAGTGATGCTGTCTTTATCATAGATTGTTACACCACACACACACACTCTCTTTCTGGTAACTCCTCTCCTGTCAGACACCACAAGATCTTAATTCTTCTTGTTGTTGTTAAGTACCATCGAATCAGTTCTGACTCATAGCGACCTTATATAGGGCTTCCTCAGAACAGCCAGTGGGATTGAACTGCTGACCTAGCGGTGTGCAGTTCAGTGCTGATCCTAAAGCAGCACACCAGGAGTCCTAAATCCTATATTCATACTGCAGCATTTTCTGCTTGCTAAGGGACCCTACTTCCATCTGCTTTTCCACTTCAAGAAATTTGTTGAAATTTCTCACCTACTGTGTTTCTCTTTCTGTTATTTGTCCTTATATGGAGTTATATATTTGTTCACTATCATACTCTTGTTTTCACTTGACCTAGTTAAAATTTTAGTTACTGGTATTGGTTTCCTAAGACTGCCATAACAAATTACAATAAACGGAGTGGCTTAAATCAACAGAAAATTCATTCTTCACATTTCTAGAAGTCTGAAATCAAGGTTATTGTCGTTCCTTGCCATAGTCAGTTCCAACTCATAGCGACCCCACATGGGGTTTCCAAGGAGCTGCTGGTGAGTTTGAACTGCTGATCTTGAGGTTCAAACCAGCCTTATAGTCAAGTGCTTATCCTACAGCACCACACCAGGGCTCCGGAAGTCAAAGTATGCCCTCCAAAATGCTGTCAGCAAAATCCTTGCTTGCGTCTTCACGGATTCCAGTGGTCCCTGGCAACAAACCGTTTTCCTTGAATTGTAGATACATGATTCCATTTGTTGCCTCTGTCTTCACATGGCTATCCTCCTTCTGTGTTTGTGTTTTTTCTCATCTTTTTATAAGGACACCATTCATATTGTGTTAGGCCTCCCCCTACTCCAGCATGAGCTCATGTTAAGTTAACTGACAACATCTTCAAAGTCAGAATCACAGGTACCGGGAGTTAGGACTTCAGTGTATCTGGGAGACACAATTCAATTCATAATAGTATCTTACTATATGCTTGTTGTGACTAATTCAATTAATATAGATGTCTAAGAAATAAAAAGTGGAAGACATCTCTATCAGTCCTGAAAATTCCACTCCTACCTCTGACTTACACTTCATCTTTTGTTACTGGTTAAATAAATGGTTTTATATATATACATAGTTGATACTTTTTATTATTTAACTTTTAATTTTAACATAATTATAAAATATAATTCAGAAAGATCTCATGTTCCCTTTACTCAGTTTTCTTCAACTGGTAATATCTTGCAAAGTGAAACTGTATCACAACCAGGAAGCTGGCATTTATATAGTCAAAATTTAAAAGATTTCCATCAAAAACAAGGATTCCTCATGTTGCCGTTTGATTACCGTACCACCAGCCCCACCCCTCCTTAATCGCTGACAATCGCTAATCTAGTCTCCAGTTCTAAGTTTTTGTCATTTCAAGAATGTCATATACAATAAAACCTGTGAAAACTGGAGCCTATGGAAGGCAGAAACTGGCCAGAGAATGAAAACTCAAATGTTTTACACTGACAGAGAGTGATAGAAATGTGGTAAGACTGCACCCTGTCAAAACTGGGAAACTTGTAAAACCAGGAGCAGTTAGGACGTCTCATCGAGTTCTGATTCTCATGGGTTTGACTGGAAATGTAATCATTCAGTATGTAACTGTTTTACTCAGCATAGTTCACTGGACATTCACCCAGGTTGTTCAGGGATCAATCCTTCATCCTTCTTTACTGCTGAGTAGTACTCCATGGTAAGAATCCTGATGGTACAGACTGGGCTGCTAACCACCAGGTCAACAGTTCAAATTCACCAGGTTTACAGCCTCAGAAACCATCTGGGACGGTTCGGTTCTGTACTATAGGGTCTCTATGTGTCTCAATCAACTCAACAGCAAAGGGTGGGTTTTGTATTCCACTCTAAGAATGGATCATGTTAAGAATGATTTTTTAAAACCATTCACCCATTGAAGGACATCTGGCTTATAACCAATTTGGGTCTATTACAAGTAAAACTGCTACAAACATACATATATAGATTTTTGTATAAAAATAAGTTTTTATTTCTCTAAGAGAAATCTATGTCCAGAAGCCATATAACAGTTGCATTTAATAGTCCTGGTGTGGCGCTGTAGGATAATCACTCGACAGCAAGGTTGGTTTGAACCACAGGGTTGGTGGTTCAAAGTCACTAGCCACTCCTCGGAAACCCTATACAGGGTTGCTATGAGTCGAAACCGACTTGACGGCACTGAACAAGAGCAAACGGTGATAATGGTTGCATGCTTACTTTAAAAAAAAAAAAAAAAAATGACCTGTTTTCCGGAGTGGTTATACTATTTTGCATTTCCAGTACAATGTCTGACCAGTTCAGTTTCTCTGCATCCTGGCAGCATTTGGTTAGTGTCACTGGTTTCTAATTTAGCCATTCTGGTAGATAGATGTTTAGTGCTATCTCATGTGGCATGTTTAGTACCATGCCATGCACTATGGATACTACAGAGCATAAATGGCATTCCCTACTCTCAAGCACTCTTAACATACTTAGAAACATTAGTTTAATGTAGAGAAAGCTTACACACTCATATACATTATCACAGAATTGTCCTATAAGCCCACAGGATACATTAGTATTGTATAGGCTCAACAGAAAAGCAAATTCATGATGAAAAGTGAGGTTTATTATAATCCTTAATCAATACATTGCCATAAATGCGAGGGAAGTATCAGTAACCTAATTGATTTTTTGTTTTGTTTTGTTAGTGGAATCATATCTGACCTTTTTCCTGGAGTCCAAATTCCGGAGCACGATTATGGCATTTTGCAGTCCACGATTATAGATGTCATGACTAGACAAAATCTTCAGCCTGAGCTATGTATGGTTAAAAAAGTGATACAGTTCTACGAAACTATGTTAGTAAGGCACGGTGTTATGCTAGTGGGGCCAACAGGAGGTGGTAAGACTACGATTTACCAAATACTAGCAGAAGCTTTAGGGGATTTGCAAAAACATGATCTAGACAATCCCTTCTACCAACCAGTTAAAACATACGTTCTTAATCCTAAATCAATTACAATGGGTGAATTATATGGTGAAGTTAATACCATAACATTGGAATGGAAAGATGGTTTGATGGCACTAAGTGTCCGGGCAGCTGTGAATGACACCTCAGAAGATCATAAATGGATCGTCAGTGATGGGCCAGTGGATGCTCTTTGGATTGAAAATATGAATACCGTGTTGGATGATAACAAGATGCTCTGTCTAGCTAACAGTGAGAGGATTAAACTCACACCTCAAATCCACATGCTTTTTGAGGTAAATGTAGGCCTTACTATGGAGAGAAATCATTTGTTAGATTAACACAATGTCATTAAATTGTTTTCCTCACACTGATGTATCATTTACTATCTATACCTACCATAGTATATTGTTTAGATATATATTGGTGGCTTTGCATAATTTGAAATGCTTGCTAAGTTAAAAAAATATTTTATTACAATGAATACATTTGTCTACTGAAGTATGAATATTTGATGAAGGGATTAAAAGAGGGATGTGGACCAAATACATCTACTAAGTGTTATGAAAAGTACTATACCTCATCTATTCATTTGTTCACTGTAATTCTCTTGTTTTCACTTGACCTAGTTAAAATTTTAACTGTGTATCCCTTGTGCCACAATGGGCAAAGTATTGGGCTGCTAACCACAAGGTTGGTGGCTCAAACCCACCAGCCACTCTATAGGAGAAAGATGAAACTATCTGCTTCCATTAAGATGTAGAGTCTCAGATCCTATAGAGCAATTCTACTCTGCCTATAGGGTCACTGTGAGTCAGAATCAACTCGATGTCAATGAATTTACTGGGGTTTCTATTCATCTATCCAGTGCTGATCGAATGCCTACTATGGGCTCGGTGTTATGCTTTGTGTTGTGATATAAGAATGAACAGGAAATCAGAGAAAAGAAAAGAAAAGAAACACATGTTCCCTCCCATAAGAACTTGATAGTATCCTTTTATCTTGTCTAAATTGAGGCACTTTACACCTTGTGCCTCAATTTCCCATCTCTTTCCATCTCTGCTTGCTTAAAGCTCTTCCACTCACTTCCACATAAAGGCTTTCATTGTCTGCTTCAACTTTGAAAGTGTGATTCCTCAGTCCTTCAATAAAGAAGACTCATACTAGCTGTTTCCTGTTAACCTTCCCTCCATTTTAGGTGCAGGATCTAAAGGTTGCCTCCCCTGCAACAGTCAGCCGATGTGGAATGGTGTTTGTGGATCCAGAAGAGCTGAAATGGATGCCATATGTTCAGACTTGGATGAAGCGAATTTCTAATAGAGTAAGTGCAACCAAATGCCCTTGCCCATCCGCCCGCCTTTGTCAAGGCTTACACTACCCCCAGTGCCCAAATAGCTGGAGGTTAAGGCCTCTTCTGTGCGACTGTGGGGCTTCCAGTGTGTGACCTAGGACTTCTCCCTAAGAATTCCCAAATTTGGCCTTATGTTTATTACTTAGCCTGACAGTCTGCCAACTCACTCTTGTTCCTGCTTACGTACGTGTGTCTGGATTCCTGCTACACTACTTTTTTTCGGTACAAATAATGCCACTTCCTAAGAGCCCCCAAACATAGGTAAGAACAATCTGGGCATTATAAAGACTTGGCAGAAGACTGAGGACAATGTAGAAAAAGAAAATTTATATGCATACACTAGCTGTCATTGTTACTAGGTTTCAAGAGACCCTAGCTCCTCAGAGAGCTAGAGGGAGGAGAAAACCAGTTTACCTCCCACCCCAATCTTAGATGCATGACCCAACCAAAGTAAAGGAAAGCTTTTACATCATTATTCAGAACAATTTAGCTCCATATATCTTCGGTACATCTCTCAATTCTAAAACAAGATTTTGGCTTTATTATTATTATTATTATTATTATTATTATTATTTTTTTTTACCTCAGCTTAACAAGTGGTCCATTGAAATGTTTCTCCCTGTCCCACCCCACTGCAAGAAAGTCACCTTCTTCGCTGCCTTTCCCCTCCAAAGATGAATCCAAAAACTACTGTTTTTCTCACTCTTCTTGTTGTCAAGAGCTGTCGAGTCGTTTCCAACTTATAGCAGCCCTGTATAGAGTTTCCAAGAAATGACTGGTGGTACAGACAACCAGCGGTTAGCAGTCCATTGCTTACTTTACAGCACCACAACAGAACACCTGTGAGTCCACTATGAAATCCAAAAGCAGAATATTATTAGCTACAAGAATCCCCCAGTGTGTCTTTTCTTATTCAATAGAGGGGTTTTGTATTTTAATCTACTTTGTTTCAGATCTTGTGACCTTTATCTTAAAGATCACAGAATATATTAAAATATACAGATTTGAAAGAACCTGTTTCTAAGCTTAAGTACACATTTCATGAAGTCCTGCTAAAAGAGTTTTTGCTTTATTCTCAGCTGAGTGAAGAAACTCAGGAATATCTACTGAACCTTTTCCAGCGTTATGTTGATGATGGTTTAAATTTTATCCATAAAAAGTGCAGTCAAGCAATTCCACAAGTCAACATCAGCAAAATCACTACCCTCTGCTGCTTGCTGGAGTCCTTGATACTTGGAAAAGATGGGATTAACTTTACAATGGTAGGAAGAATTTTCGTACTACTACTATGAAGATAGTATCATGAGATATTGTCTAGATGCTGTTCCTATAACTCCAAGTTTTCTGTAATATCTTTTTGAACTAAATTTCTTAGGGGACCGATGACAGTGACTGGATACATAAAGACTTCAGTGGGAAGGAATGTCAGGGATCCTCTAATGTTGTCCTTGACTCAACAGTTTAATTTCCTCAGTGTTTATCTTATTCCTAGTATGTATCCAACTCTCGGCTGCTTTAACAGCTTCCTGTAGGCCTCAAACAGAGTTATAACAATTGGTTGAAAGATAGCTTTATGATTTTTTTTCCTCTCCTTGCTCCTTGACATTCATTTTCTCATCCGGTGTTCAAATATGTACCACTAAAAGGAAACTTTGTTCTGTAGCACATTCCAGAAACAATTAAGAAAGTGCCCCTTTAAAAATGTTCAAATCTAAAGGAAACAAAAAGTCTTTGGAATTTACAATTTACGGTCCTTCTTAGTTTACATATGTTGTCTTACAAATGGTTATCTTTATTCTTTTAGGAACAAACAAAATTGAACACTTTGCTATGTCAGACTTTTGTATTCTGCTATTTATGGTCTGTGGGTGGAAACTTAACTGAAAACTACTGGGATTCTTTTGATACATTTATTAGAACACAGTTTGATGACAATCCTGATGCCAGGGTAAGAGCCAAATTAATTTTGATATGATAATTCTGAATTGTTACAGTTCAATTTTAAGATCCTTAGTTCTACTAAAAATATATATTGTTGACTAAAAGGATTTTGAAATTATTTGCTTTTATCAATCTTAGATAACATTTATTGTGTTTAAAAACAAAAATTAAAATTTAGGCATCCTCTTTGTTGTTGTTGTTGTGTGCTGTGGAGTCGGTTCCGACTCATAGCAACCCTGTACAGGGTTTCCGAGGCTGTAAATCTTTACGGGAGCAGAAAGCCTCATCTTTCTCCCGTGGAACAGCTGGTAGTTTCAAACTACTGACTGTGAGATTAGCAGCCCCATTCGCGTCCTCTGCTAGCCATAAAAGAAGAGTAAGGTATAGAAGTATATAAAAATTCACCATGATGTTCCACGGAATATTGGACTCTAGTTAGAAAATTTACTTTTTATATTGTGTCTGATGAATTTTTGTTATTGGTAAGTGCCATTAAGTCGATTACGGCATACAGTGACCCTGTAGAGGGTTTCCACAGAATGGCTGGTGGGTTTGAACCTCCAGGGTTTATCCTACAGCAGGACACCAGGACTCCACATGTGATACATTAGCAAGGCTAAAAAATTCCTGCTATGCTTTCTAAGACTGAGTAAATGAATAACATTTTCACTGTTAGACAAAGGATATACAAATATGGGAGGTCAAAGATTAGAATGTACTTTTTATAACTGGATTGTAATAGAGGTATCATTATGAACTCATGGGTTATTTTTAAATATGTATGTATTTAAAAGAAATGCATTGCTTCAGAGTCTTTTCCAACTCAGCAACGCTGCAGGATAGAGTAGAACTGTCCCCTAATAGAACTATCCCCTTTATAGAAGCCGACTCAACTCTCTGTCTCTGCTGGGTTCAAACCACTGACCTTCTTGTTTGCAGCCAAGTGCTTAATCACCACACTGCCAGAACTTCTCTTTATATGCATAAATATATGAATATGGAGATAGACAGACAGATATCAATACATACATAAATGCCCTAACACTGTGCTGGAAGGGATTAGAAGCAATGATACCCCAGAGTAATAAGCATAGTTACTTTCTAAATTCTGTTCTCCGTTAAAGACAACCAAGGCTCCTTAATGAAATCCCAGATCCAGGATGGGGAAGGGAAAGTGCACATGTAAGCTGTAACATCATTTTATGCCAGAGAGTAGTGCAGAATGTATAAAGAATAATGCACAGAGCTAGGAAGTTTTGAGCATCAGAGTATAATGATAGTAATGGTTTAAAACTTGCAGAATAGAATAAAAATCTGTGAGTGCATACTGGCAATAAAAATATACTTTAAGTGAGGAGAAGGAAAGGCTGTTCCTTACAGTAGAATAACAACTAATTTAGACAAAAGAAATGATAGAATTTCAAAGTCATCATTTAGTAACCATTATAATAATAGCTGATTTAGGCAGGAGTCATCAATGAATGGTAAAAGCACTGGGAGAGAGTTTTATAAGAAACAAAAGAGGACACACAGAGATGCACAGACACACAGGAGAAAGTCATGTAAAGAAGATGAGATTGGAGTTATGCAGCTCTAAGCCAAGGAACTCCAAGGATTGCTAGAGCCATCAGAAGCTAGAAAGAGGCAAGGAAGATTCTAGAGTCTTCCGAAGGGAGCATGCCCTGTAAAGTACCTTGATTTTGGACTTCTGCCTCCAGAACTATGAAATAATAAACGTCCATTATTTAAACCACCCAGTTTGTAAAAAGGTGTTCACAGCAGCCCCAGGAAACTAACATACCTTCTGTTCCTTTTTCTTCTTTACTGAAACATTTTATCAAGAAGCGATGTTATATTTTGTAAAATGCTTTATCTGTTTGATTGAGATTATCATTTTTTTCTTTTTTACTTTGTTGTTGTTGTTGTTATGTGCCGTCGAGTCGGTTCCGACCCATAGCGACTCTGTACAGGGTTTCCGAGGGTGTAAATCCTACGGGAGTAGAAAGCCTCATCTTTCTCCCGCGGAGCAGCTGGTAGTTTCGAACCGCTGACCTTTAGGTTCGCAGCCCGATTCGTAACCACTACGCTACCCTTGTATGAAGGCTAACAAAAATTGATACTATACTTGATTTCATGGAAGCTGCAGTCAAGAAAGGAAACAACATACTGCATTAGGAAAATCTGCTGCACAAGATCTCTTTAAAGTATTCAAGAGCAAAGATAGCAGTCTGAGGACTAACATGTGCTTGACCCACACCATGGTATTTTCAATAACCTCATACACATGAGAAAGTTGGACAGTGAATAAGGATGACTGTAGAAGAATTGATGCACCTGAGTTATGGTGTTAGAGAAGAATATTGTCAGTGCCATGGATTACCAGAAGAACAAACATATCTTGTTGCAAGAAGTACAGCTAGAATGCTCCTTAGAAGCCAGGATGGAGAGTTTTTCTCTCATACTTTGAACTTATTATCAGGAGAGTTCACTCCCTATAGAAGGACATCATGTTTGGTAAAGTGGAGGGTCCGTGCAAAAGAGGAAGACCCCAATTACATGGATCGGTACAGTGGCAGCAGCAATGGGCTCAAGTTTAACAAAGATTGTGAGGATGGTGCAGGGTCAAGCAGTGTTTCACTCTGTTGTGCATAGGGGCGCTAGGAGTCAGAACCGACTCGATATCACCTCAGAACGACAACAAGAAGTACTTGATGTTAGCCTAAAGTCCAAGAAATAATTAGTTTATTCTTAATAGCCACTGGAACCAATCCAAATGTCTATCAACAAATGTCCAATATAAGATCTACGAGGCTAAAGACTTTGGGTACTTTCTTTAGTCTTGGTACAAAGAAGTGTGCCCTACAGACTTTCAATACATTTTTGTTGAATTGAATGCTGATTACTTGCTCTGATTAAAAGTCAACTCTGGTCAAAAGTCAACTGTGCCATATTCATACAATGAAATACTATGAAGCAATTAAATAAAATTCATTACAGTTACATAAAGCAACATGGATGAATCTCACATACATAATGTTTAATGAGTGAAGCCAGATGGAAGAGAGTTCATACTGTGAGGTTCCATTAATATAAAGCTCAAGGATGAGCACAGTAATCTATTTGGTATCTTGAAGGGGGGATAGGCCTGGCTGGTATTGGATTAGAGAGCCTTCTGAGGTGCTGAGCAAATTCCAGATCTTAGATGCTTACATACGTAAAAATACTTTAAACCCGACTCCTAAACTCTGGCAAAAGATAGCATGTTACACCTCAATAGAAGTTTTTAATAGAATGGCATGTTGTTGTTGTTGTTGAGTGCCGTCGAGTCGGTTCCAACCCATAGCGACCCTATACAGGGTTTCCGAGGGTGTAAATCTTTACGGGAGTAGAAAGCCTCATCTTTCTCCCGCGGAGCGGCTGGTAGTTTCTAACCGCTGACCTTAAGGTTCGCAGCCCGATTCGTAACCACTACGCTAATAATTTCACATCGTAAGGGTAAATATACATTTCTAGAAATATCTATGTATGTTCTGGGTGAATCTCTTACAAAGGGTCACCATCAAATGTGCTTTAATTTCCAGTGCTCTGCACAAGTGCCAGGAAAAAAATTATAAAATGCAATCCGCTCACGCCCTGCTTAGAACTATTTTTATTCTAAATTCTTTTCCTTAAAAAAAGCAAGGCTTGTCATAACCTGGTCCCTTCCTAGGTCTCAGTTTCATGTGCTGCTATGTGCAGTGCTAATAGTGCCCCGAATGCACTGTGTTTTCCCCAGTCTTCCTATCCTGTTTTCATAGTCCTGGTATAGCACTGTAGGATAGGCACTCGACTACAAAGTCAGTTTGAACCACAAGGAAATACCATACTGAGTGGCTATGAGTCTGAACCAACTCGAGAGCACTTACCAACAAA